GTTAGTTAATAAACATTCCAATATTAAAAATAATTTAGTAGTAAAATAAAGTTGATTAATAAAAAATAAAATGTTGACAAATGAAATGATAAAGTTGATTAATAAATACTCAAATATTTAAGATAACTTAGTAGTAAAATAAAGTTGAATAATAAAAAAAATTAAATGTTAATTAATGAAATGATAAAGTTGATTAATAAATATTTAAATATTAAAAATAATTTTTAATAGTAAAACAAAGTTCGTTAATGAAAAGTAAAACATTCTTAACGAAGATATGAAATTGGTTAATAAATATTTATATATTAAAATTAATTTTTAATAATAAAATAAAATTAATTAATGAAATATAAAATATTGATTAATAAAATTATAAAATTGATTAATTACAATTTTATATCAGTATTTCTTAATTTTAAAATAATAAAAAATTAAAAAAAAGTATTGGTAAATAATAAAATAGGATGTATTGTACAAATTGAGTGTCAGTATTATTTGTGATAAATAAGTATAGTGAGTAACATTGTATTGCAAGATGACCAATTATTATGAGGCAACGCCTTATAAAAACAAAACATGCGAGTTGTTCACCCAAACAGGTGTTGACGAATGGTTTGCCTCTATTGGAAAGTGATGCACATGCAAAACAAATTTTCAACCGTTCAATTTTGCAGCTAATAAAGCACAAAAACATAGGCATGTCATGGGTCCCTTAACCCATACATTAATCTCAAACGTGTCTGTCAATAAGGGCAAGTTCAATGGGCAAGAGGTTTATGATGCACACTACCTAGTATAAGTGGAGTAAATATCTATTTCAAAATTTGTCAATATTCATTCACTCTAAAGAGTACATTAGAAATTTTATATAAAAAAAAAGTGTACATTAGAAAAAAATAAATACAATTTTAATATTACTAAAAAATAAGGATTTTTCAATCATTTACGAGTAAATAATATAAAATAATAAAATATCAACGAATAATAAAATGAAAGTGATTGAAATATCAATTATCAATATTTTTTTTAACACAACAAAATTAATTTTTATCATTATGAATCGAAAGTTCAATGTAAAGAAGAATAACTGGAATAATATTATATCTAGTTCAAGAATTAGCCCCCTTCGCTAACAAGTGGACAATTAAATTCGCTTGACGTTTAACAAACTCAACTTCAAAATTGGGAAAATTACTTAATAACAATTTTGTGATTCTCATAATAGTATAAAACTCAGAATTATCGTCGATTGCTGTCTGTAAGGCTTGCACTACTCTAAGAGAATCGCTTTCGAAAATAACCTGACCAAGATTCAAGGAAATAACACTCTGGATAGCTTCCTTAAGTGTTAAAGCTTTTGCTTCCATAACAGAGACGTTTCATGGATCCCAAGCTACTCTCGCTATGATAAAGTTGTCAGCTTCATCTCGGATGCACCAACCTCTATTCAACGTACCTCTCTTACTACTAAAGTCAACGTCCAAGTTGCATTTAAGCCATCCACTTGGAGACAAATTCCATGCAAGCACTTGATGTTGACCGTTGTTATTACTGTTAATTTGTTGTGCCGAAAACCACTCCTACCACTTATGATACGTAAGCCAACCAATTTTAGAACCCTCTTCTCGCTCACTATTCCAAATGAAATCATTCATACTTTTCCACACACTCTCTATCGTAAAGGCCACTCTATCTGCCGTATTCCCATCTTCTTTACTGGAAATATCTGAAATAAGCGACTTTACATCATGAAATGAATTAATTATATGATCAATAATATTATGCAAACCTGCAGCTTCCCAGCAACGATAAGTATTTGGACAACCAAAAAATATATGACAATCATCCTCACTAAAGTCTTCATAAAATGGACATCCTCACCAAAAAATTATCAATACTTTTAAATCTACAATATTAACAATTAAATTATTGATTGAAGATGTAATTGATAGACGAAGAAGAAGAAAACACTTTAATAAACAATGAAATTACAAAAATAATATTAAATAAAAAACCTAATTTCTGTAGAAGTCATTTATTTAAATTTAAAAAAATGCAAATTAATAATTTCAAATAAATAATTGACTAAAAATCTACTTGCCATTTTTTTTAATAGATTACTAATTTTATAATTTTACTATTAAAAAATCAGTTATTTATATATGATTTTACAGATAGTAGTGATAATAATAACAAAAAATTCATGAAAAAGATTAATTTATTGATATAATTAGAAATTTTAATTAATTTATCCAATAGTGATAATAATAATAATAATAATAATAATAATAAATTATGAAAAAGATTTATTTATTGATATATAACTAAGAGTGCTGCAAATTAAATAATAATTTCATTTTATTATGGTTCAATGTGACGAATATTTTAAAGAGATCATTTTCATTCGCAGTTTAAATATGTTGAATTTTGAATCCAATTCGCTAACTCGCCTTCAAAAACAACTATGTTGAATTTTGATTTCAATTTAAAAGGGGTAGAAGCACTTTTAGAATGCAGAATTGATTCTGCAATGATTTAAACATGTTTGGTTCTGTTAAAGTAAAATTGGATTTGTCTCCATAACTGACTTTACTTGATTTTACATTGAAATTTATTGTTCTACACACTTTTACATAAATGTATCCAAACATAAATCAATTCTACTAAACTCAATTATATTAAAATCAATTATACCAAACTCAATTCTGTCCACCGTCAATCCAAACACACGCTAAAAGAGAACTTCTAGGCTACAGTGATTTTTTACCATAATTTTTTATTTTGTACCTCTAAATCAAACATAATATACATCAATGCATGTGAGAGTAGGGATGTCAATTTGCCCCATTAGTGGAGATCTCCGTGGAGATTTCCTGTTTGAGGCCCCAAAGACGGAGAATTTTTTCTCAACGGGGATGGGGAACAATGTCTCCTCGAAGACATTTCGGAGACGGGGGTGGCGTGAATATCCTTCGTTCCGTGGAGTCCCCATCTCGCCTAGAATACCATAATAAACATAATTTATATCATTTTAAATTTTTATGTAGGTTTATTTGTCATTTCATATAATTTATCTTATAAACAAACTTAAAATATAAATGTATTGTTAGTAAAAGAGTGAGATATAAATGATTATTTTAAACTTTTTAAGTTTGGAATTTTGGTGGTTATGACACTCAATATTATAGATAAAATATTTTTAAAACAATATATTTATCATAAAAGAATAATTTCTAAATTTTATTGTGGTTAATTTTTAAAATTTTTACTATTAATTTGGTTTAAAATAATAAATAAAGAAAATCATGTTTATGGATCTCCGTATGAACTTTGGGGATTCGCGAGGATGGGGATGGAGGACAAAATCCTCCCGTGAAAGGGACCCGAGACACAGACTTGAAAAAGATTCGAGAGTGCGGATTGAGATGAGAATGTATCCCCCGTCTCCATCCCGCCCCATTGACATCCCTATGTGAGAGGTACATATGAAACTTCGAATCTTTGGTTTGACAATTTGAATGGAAATATTTGATATATGAACGATAGGGGTGGAAATAAGTCAGGCTAATAACAGAGACCTACAGCCTAGCCTACATAGGCCCAGGTTAGTCCTAGACTTTTTTATAAGTCTATTTAATTAAAAAAACTAAATCTCAGGTCATGAAAAAAGTCTTTTAGACCTAGCAGGACGACCTATATAAATAAATATGAATAATGTTTTTATTATCATTATGTTATGTTTTGTACTTTGAATCAAAATACATAAATAAAACTTGATTATCTTGGGGAACTTATGAAAATAAGATGAAAACACTTTATGAACAATGTTATAAGTTGTTTTCACAAGTCATCTTAAATAAATAATCTCACAAAACGTATGTTAATTGGTAAGTTAAAATAAATCAATGCAAACAAACTTTTAGTCTCATTTTTTTTTAGTTTGTTAGTCTATTAAAACATTATTTAAATTACTTATTTACATATATATAAAATAATAGACTTTTATGTAGGCTAACAAGTTAACCAGACCTTAGAAAAGGTCAGACTCAAGCCTAAAAATAAGTCTATACCAGATTACATGCTAGATTTAGACTTCAATTTTTTTTTTACAGGCCATGTTTAGACTTGACAAAATCTAATTTAGTCAAGCCTATTTTCATCCCTAATAAACGGTTTGGATGAAAGTGTTTCATATATGATTAAATTAGGTGTGAATGACTACATTAATTTTGTTTAAAATTAAAGAACCCACTCAATTTTTTTTGAAAAAGTTAATGATACAAAATATAATCAAAAATCAAAAAAAAAATTAATATAATTATTATTTTATTAACTTTTTCAATTAAATAAAATTAGAAATAAATTGTTATACATTATTGTATTTTTTTTTTTACACGGTCAATATATCACAATCATTTATAAATATTATTTTATAAATAATTAAAATAAAAATTAAACTTCAATAAAATCTAACGACCACAATACATACCTATGAATTTTAAAAGAGTGATCACATAAAATTTCTGTACACAACTCTCCAAAATTTAACTTTAAGATGACATTTAAATATAGTATTAGAACTGGATTAAAGATTTAGATCCCAAAATCATATTGAAATTGAGGCCACCCGTCACAAAATTTTGTCTTGAATTAAGATAGAATTAATACATCGTTTTACCATGAGATCATCATACATACCCCTCACTAATCTGAATATTTATTTGTGTCTAAAGTATATTCACGAGTGTCCACCAAATATTTTTCTCATTGATTACTTCCTTATATGTCATAATCATTAGTTTTTGAGAAACCATATGTCACATTCTAAAACTTTTGTAATTTGGTGTACCAATAATGCCGCCATATATTCACCGCTACATCATGAATAAAAATAAGTCACGCCTACCTTATTTGTCTCAATACACCTTCCTCCATTCCTCTTCTCTCTTCTCTATATCACTCTCTTTTTCACTTTCTCTCTATACTTCAAATTCATAAACATGTTACTAAGAACCTATAGTGCACCAATTCACACTTCTTTCCTTCTTTCTCATTCAATGGAATCTTCACCTGAACAAGATCTCAATCACCACCACCTTCCTCCTAAAACACTTGCAACCCCTTCCAAAACTAAGAACAAGAGCTTTTCATCACGTAGTAACCTTGTTAAGAATCCTCATCAGAATATAGTGGAACATGAAAAAACAACACCTTCAATTAGAGAAGAAGTGCTTTTTTCAAGCTATAGTTTAAATAAACAAGTTTTGGATCATGAAGAGGGTGGTAAGAAAGTTGTAAAGTTGCAAACTTTAGTAATGGGTGGTGGTGGAATGGGATGTGATGATGGTGGAAGAATTTGTGGTGGTGGAAATGGAAATGGAAATGGGTGGGAGAATAATTATGGTAGAGATGAAACTCATGCTTATTATCAGAACATGATTCAAGCAAATCCAAATAATTACCTTTTACTTGGAAATTATGCCAAGTTTTTGAAAGAGGTAATTAATTTTGGTTTATTAAGTCAGAATGAGCTTCTACTTAAACATAATTATATTATTAATCCTTACAATCACACGGTCGATACATCAGTAACAAAGGATCGAGATCAAGATTCTAGACTATCTGATTTCGATTCAACTGTGTCACTGATGTGTTGACTATAGACAATCTATTAGATCAAATATCAATTTACCATATATAAATAAATGGAAAGAAAAAAATAGTGAAATTTGATTAAAGAATATGGTTGTGACATGATATAGGTTTGTGGAGATTATGGTAAAGCAGAGGAGTATGTTGAAAGAGCCATTCTGGCTAACCCTAGTTATGGTGATGCCTTATCCCTATATGCAAATATAATATGGAAAACTGAGAAGAATGTTGATCGAGCTGAAGCATATTTTGATCAAGCTGTTAAAAGTGATCCAAATGATTGGTAAGATATATCTATTTAAAAACTCATTTTTTCTAAATTTTGGTGTCCAAAAAATATTCAAAAACCAATTTGCTTTATTTCCAAAATATCTGGGTGTGTCCTGACAGTGAATGTGTAGGTTAATATTATTATTGTTATTATGACATCAGCTATGTCTTGGCTTCATATGCAAAATTTCTATGGGATGCTGATGAAGAAGATGAAGATGAAGATAATGACTGTCAACATAAGAACCATACATATTCACATGAAATCACTGCAGCCTCTAAAATCTAACCTCTGTATAGTTGTAAATAGCTTATGTTATGCCATGAATAAGAGAATGTGTTAGTAACCAAGGTAGGGAGAATTCTATTGTTGCATCTTTTCATAGTATATGAAATTTTGGTCGAAATTAATGAATACTCTATAAGTCTCTTTGTAGTTCTAGAATTCAATAATGTGACTTTTGTTATAATAATAAGAAATTATTATTATTACTATTTAAAATATATTGTGAATAGTAAATGACTTCTGTGAAGATTTTTAAACATTGTATAGTTCTGTGAAGATTTTTAAACATTGTATAGTTATATGTATTATTACATGTAGTGAAAATATTGTATAGTTATATGTATTATTACATGTAGTGAATAGTTGTAATTCATATAGTATAAATAGCATATATTGGATTCATGTAACAATATAACAATTCTCTCAGACAAATAAATTATTTCAACACTCTCTTCTATATCTCTATTTTCATACTTTGGTTCAAATATTTTGGTTTTTCTCAACATGTTATCAGCATGATCGTTTCTATCGGAAGTTTTTACTATACTAGGTATATATTTTATACTTATTACTTTAATCTTACTATTACTCTTATTATTATTATTTGCCCCGGTTATAGAAAATTGGCAATCAGTCAAGTGATTTATAACTAGAATGACTATTACTGTTGTTATTATTATTTGTCCCGTGTTGTACTCCAAAATTTTCTCTCCTATTTTTGAAGACAATTGGTTCAAGACACCTCCTCATGCTCCCAGGATTCTCAATTGCTCAAGAATACTCAAAGAATGATCAGACAAATCATCTTCCTAAGTAGTTGACCTACAACTAGGGTTTTTCTTTAAAGAAAATTGAGCTTCTAATGTCTCAAGTAAATTTCATGGTTTCTCATATGCTTTAAAGAATCCTCATGTCAAGTTTCAATCCTTACATCACCAGTTTGCTCAGTCAATTGCTCAGATGATTGGAAATCAACTATATTGGATAAAAAGTCAATTGTGGTCAACATACAGTCAAACTTCAAGATTTTTGGTCAACATCAAGATTTTGAGGTCACATTCGTCATTTGATCAAGAGTTGATCATGATTCATCGAGAAAACTCAAGATCCATCAAAAGTCAAAAGTTATTAAATTAGGATTTTCTTTAGGAGAAGTCAATTGAACTTTGACCTGGCATAATTTTCACATGTTTCATCAAGAATTCCTCATCCAAATCCAATTTTGTAGGAAATTCAATTCTCTACAACTATGTCTCTCTAAGCTCAAGGCCAAAAATGTTTCATTTGAGAGATATGGATCAAAACATTACAAGTCATTTTAAAAGTTAACAAAAAGACATTTTTTGTCACGGCAATTTACATCAAATTAAAGACTTCAAATGGAAAAATGACCAACCTGAAAGTTGTAGGAGGCATCTTGAGGTTTCCAAAAAGTCCAAGATCACTTTTATATGACAAAAATTGTGAAAGTTATGATTGGCACAAGTTCGACAATTTTTTAGAAATGCATGAAATCTCAATCGAGCAATTTTGAATTTTTGGACTAATGGGCCTAACTTTTGAAGATCAAACATGTTTATGACATGATAGAAGACTTCTAAGTCCACTGGTACATGGTCATATTTTTTGTCCTATTTATTTAAATTTTTATTTAATTTTTGTAAAAGAATTAAATTAAAAATAACAAATAGTTGGGTTAATGTTGGACTATGATCATTTGGACATCTTCTAGAAAGCCCAAGACCTCATAAAAGCTTTCCAAAACCGTGAGAGACATGTTTGAGACAAGGATCTTCAAAAATGGCAAGTTAGAAAACATGTTTCATTGATTTTTGGTAACACCATGATCACTTGATTCTTTCCTTCATTGGTGACTTAAATCTCCTCCTCTATAAATACTCAAGCCCTCACACTATAATGACACGGAAAAAAATTTGCCTCAAGAAAAGTCTCAAAAATCACAAATTTTCAAAGAAAGTCCACCATTGAATCTCAAGTTCCAGTTTGATTCAGTCCAAACCACCACCTCAAATCACTTCCAGAAAATCTCCAAGGTAAGAATAGGTAACTTTCCATGTCTATTTCTATCTAAAACTTGCATACATGCCATGTCTGATTTGCATTATTTTTTATTATTCATATTACAAATTATACACATTGTTAATTGATTCTAACAATTCAGATCGCTTAGCACGATTGTTTAGAACATGTTTGAAGCCTTACATGGAAGTTTTAACATGAGGAATACGAGATGCCATTGTTAGGGCATAAAATTCTATTTGTTTCATGGCACAGCGGTAGTGTTCTTGCTTGGAAAAGGAGAGAGCGTGGCTTCGAGCCTGGACGTTGATAAGTGCAAATTGTAGCTATTTTTTGTATATACTTTTTGTTGCACTTATTGAATTTTTGTTGTTAAATCGTTGAATAAACCTGACTTTTGTGTAAATACGTTTTGTTTGTATTTGATTGTGTTTTTGTTTACATAGTGTATTGTTTGATGTTTTTCCATTCATTTTATAGGTATTGATGCGTAATTGGAGCACGAGCAATAAAGTGTCAAAGACACGGCTCCAAATGCGCGATTTTGAGCAACTCGTCAATAATAAGGCTCAAAATCAAAGAATAAGAAATTATCAATTTGGTTAATATTTAGGCATTGTTAGATAGATATTTGAATAAGCTTTCCAATGCTTCGAACGGGCATAAATCGGAGTTACGGTTCTCAAGTTATGGAGAAAACAAAAAGCTGATTTTTTTCTCATGATAGTAGAGTGCGCTTAGCGGGATTGTGTCGCTTAGCCGGTCCCCTGGATAGAACTGTGTTAAAAGGGCCAAAATGATTTTTTTTTAGGTTATATTTTGGGGTATTTGTTCTCAACTCATCAAACCTTCATTTTTGGTAGTTTAACTTAGAAAACAACATTAGGGCCTTGCTTATGGATGATTGGAGGTGGATTTCTCTTCGACCGATGCTGACAAATTGAAAGATTTGTGGTTTATCTCTTCTCCCCTCTTTGTATTTCTCTTTTGTTGGGTATTGTTTGTATATTTACTTTAAAAATATGTATATTTGTTGATCATGGTGTTGTATAAAGCTTGCTTTACAAATCAATCTTGATGTCTTCTTTGATCTTTTTGCTTTATGTTTGGATTTGGGTATTTATAGACATATACCTCACAAATCTTAATTAGGGATAGATATTTATTAATTTCTAGATTCTAGACATAGATTTAGAGCTAATATTTACTTTGAATGCTAAATCTTAATGCCTCCGTGTTGTTGTAGCGTGCAAGACATTACCGATAGAGTAATACAGTTGGTCTCGCGACTTGGCGTTAGACATAACCTTCATTGTGGATACATCTCGTGGTGTCCGTGATGATTTTAACGAGTACAATAGATTGAGTGCAACTGATCGATAGATTTAAGTTTGTGACGAGTAGTGTACATTCATATCGGATAATTAGTCTATCCTTTATAGTTTTTGTTTACATAGTCTAGATATTCATTACTCTCAAAACCAGGAGGTTGTGAGATGTATACCTCTTCATTTATGACACCGTTTAGAAAAACACTATTTACATCCATTTGATAAAGCTTAAAATTCTTAGCACACGCGTAAGCGAGCAAGAGACGTATAGCCTCAAGGCAAGCAACTGGAGCACAAGTCTCCTCATAATCAATGTCTTCCTCTTGGTTATACCCTTGTGCCAGTAAACGTGCTTTATAGTGGGTTATCACTCCTTTTTCATCAAGTTTATTTCTAAAAACCCTCTTAGTGCCTATGATATGATGGTCTCGCAGACGAGGGACAAGTTTCAAAATGTCATTTCCTTTAAATTGATTAAGCTCTTCTTGCATGGCCGTTAGCAAAAATTCATCAATCAAGGCCTCTTTGGCATTTTTAGGCTCTACTTGTGAAACAAAAGCGAAGTGATAACATAAATTACTTATCTTAGAGAGAGTCAACACTCCTTTTGAAATATCTCCCAATATATTGTCAATAGGATGGTATTTTGAGGATTTCCAAGCTGGTGGAAGATCGTTTACTTCCGTTGGCTCTTCTTCCTCATCTTTTGCATGGCTTGTATCTTCTTCCTCCTCATCGTCAATTGTTTTGGACTGATCAATTTCCTCAACAGTTTCCTTGAGTATGTCTTCTGTATATACACTTGCACTATCAAGAGAAATACATTTTCCGACATTTTTCGGATAAGATTCATCAAAAGAAACATGGACTGAATCCTCAACAGTAAGTAAATGCTTATTATATACTCTATATGATTTACTTGATTGTAAGTAACCGAGAAAGATACCTTCATCTGCTTTTGCATCGAATTTCCCAAGATTTTCTTTACCATTATTTAAAACAAAACATTTACAACCGAATACGTGAAGGTGTGACAACTTTGGCTTTCTTCCTTTTAAAAGTTCATAAGGTGTTTTATCCAAAATAGGACAGATTAATATTTTGCTTAAAACATAACAAGTTGTGTTAATTGCATCAGCCCAAAAGTATTTGGGTAATCTACCCTCATTGAGCATTTTTCTTGCCAACTCCTCTAAAACGCGATTTTTGCGCTCCACAACTCCATTCTGATGTGGAGTTCGAGATGCTGAAAAATTATGCTCAATGTGATACGGTGGGAGAACTGACTTGAGGTTTGCGTTCGTATTCGCACTTGTGCGGTTAGCAAGAGTCGCCACCGACTTTTTATTTTATCCTAAAGGAAAGGTTAAAAAGCACAGCAAAAAACCTTTTGAGATATTTCGCGGGTTCGGGGGGTAGATTATGAAAAGGGAAGGTATTAGCACCCTTTTCATCCATGGTTATCCATGGGCTCTTAGTTACTTGGTTTTTTAGATCACTTGCCTTGTTTTTCGATTGCTTTGAAAATGGTGTGTGTGTGGGTGCTTTTTGAAAATGTTTTGGAAAAAGATGCCTTGTCTTAGGCAACTAATGTATTTGACTCGTGTTTGAGTGTTTTACAAAAGTGTGAAT